CATTTACCTCCTTTTTTAAGTCCCCCTGAGTGCACCTGCTGCCGGCTTAATATTTAACAGATAAACATGTGTAAAAATATTTTCACGTAGCTTGATATTATTTGAATAAAGGAATGGCCCTTAAAAAGTAAGCAATGTTAAAAAAGAAAAGCTCTGAAAGCAATTTCTTTGTCTTTACACATCTGATTATTCCCTTGCTTTGCATGATGCAAAGCAAATGTCATGTATCCCCTTTTGACTAGTTTGCATCAAGTAAAACCTTTGCAAACAGTGGACATTTTTTACAGCTTTGAAGTTTATTGTAGCCTTCATAATACAATATAAAAGGAAACAAATGTACTATAATTTTATTATTTGTTTTAGGAAAGGGTAACATGAATTTTATTTAATTATAGTGAAAAAAAAACAGTGGTGTGCAGTATTCCAATGCAACCAATAAGATAGGAGAGATAACAATGAACTTCTCTTATCTACTGCCTTTTAGCCTGTTACATATACCATCAGAAATGTTTTGTTATACAGTATATGCTAGATATGTGCAAAAAAGTGTGAGCTAAAAACTTCCTGTGCTCTTTGCCTTTGATGCACTCTTATCATTTAGATTTTTCCCAGTTATTTATGCGGTTTACCACAGTCCTGTCTAAAGCTGTCCATAAATGGATCAAAATGTGTCAGTTTCAGCAGGGAATGGGCACTTTTTGATCCATGTATTGGCACTGCAGTTGACCAGAAGTCAATCAACAGATCTACTTCTGTTCAACAGTCTTGTTGGAAAAAGTTAACTGTTTCCCTGAGCTCAGAATACAAGAAACACAAAAAAATTCCCCATCTACCTTGAATACGTGGATGTGAGAATCAAGTAAGATTTTGCTTGTTCAATCTACTGGTTGACAAAAAACCTGACCCATCTATGACTCAGTTTTTTTCTATGAAAAAGTGAGGTGGATGGAGGAATCCTCACTGCTGTGTTGTATTCTGACAACGAGGACTCCTGTGCTGTCAGAATACCCTGATCAGCATTGAAACGCTGATCAAAGGAAACATTTTCAACAAGCCGGTTTGAGAGAAGTCAATCATTAGATCAACTTCTGTGGAACAGAAATGGCCATAAATTGATTGAAATTGAGTTGATTCAGCTTTAGGCTGGCCACAGATGCCTTGTTCTTTTTCGATCAGGCAGAGGGCACACATGTAAGGTGGATGGAGGAATCTCCTCCACTGCGCCATTTTATTCTGACAGTAGAACCCCACTGTTAGAATACACTAATCTGTGGCTACAGCTGGCTGATCAAGAAAAAGTTTCTGACAGTCCTGTTTGACAAAAATTAGTCAATAGATCAACTGCTAAGCGGGAATGGCCAAACATGGATCACAATTTGGCTGGTCCCTGCTGAAACAACTGAATTTCAATCCATCTATGGGTAACTTTAGGGTAATTACGCTGCTCCACCAAAAATACAGAACAGTGAGTCTGTAGGACACAAAGGGGTCTACGTATAAATTCATACAACTTTCACCAGAGTCACACATTTTTCTAATTCAGTTAAATTAAAAAATGCATTAATCCTGGGTGAAAGTTGTATGAATCTTGTGTGAAAATGTATATAAATAGACCCTAAGCATGCTATTGAAAGAATTACCAGGTAAAAAAAAAAAGAGGAACTGTCTGAAAAAAATAAAACTAATATAGCCACCACATCTAAGAATTGGTAAGCTGCAATATTTTACATTTTCATTCTTGGGCTTGGATATGCTTTCAGGTATAATAGCACATCATTCGTCTTTGCACTTTTTAAAAAAAGCTTAGAGTCTCTGTGACCGAATATTCTCAGGAGATTGGTTATATGAATGTTTTAATTTAAAATGTTAAACATTTATTTGAGCCCATACCTAATTAAGAATTCATGATATCTGCATGTGTCAGGCCTTTATCAAGCCAACAGTTTATATAGATGATCCAAAGTAACTACATTAGACGCAAAAAACACATTTGGTGTTAAAATTGTATGTTTGTCCAAAAGAAAGTACCCTTTGTATTTGATTAAAACTTGACTTCTAGTATTACAGTAGTTTGTGCCTTAAATAGATTGTGTGTTCAAGTGCCTCTGTGGCAGTGTTATAACATTGATTGTTAATAAAGCAGTTGTTGCAACAGCTTGTGTATAAAATCTGAGACATGAACAAATTATAATTTCAAAATAAAAAGTGACAATTCAACATCAGCAACTGTGTGTTTTTATAAATAGAACATCTTCAATTATGGATTTCTTTAGCTTTATAACCCATTCACACCTGCCTGTCCGCTCTGATCAGCAGAGGAACAGAACCCCTGCTTTTGTGACATCTGTGTTCATTCATTTTTGCCCTCCTGGAATTTAATATTACATTGTTACTAAGCCCACAACAATAAAATCAGTCTATATATGTAGTAAAGCATGCTTGTTATGCTCACTGTGGAACTAAGGGGTTAATCATCTGCATTGTGTAAAAAGGCTGTTTGATTCTGTTTTCCCTGATCCTCCCCTTCTTCTACTGCCCCTAATCCATCTGCTGATAGTACAGAGCTTTAGGAGTCACTCTGCACATGTTCAGTTTAGTATGTATTGCTAGAGAGTTTTGTTTCTTTGGGAGGGTGCATGTATTCAGCACAGGGCCAATCAGCACTGTCCAGACAGAGAGTGAGGGTCATACAGCCTCAGAAGACAGTCACACCAGAATGAAAACTCCTACTACAAGCTTTAACCAGTGCTCAGCTGGACACTGATAGAAGTCACAAGACTGCTACATATTGCAGATGAGAAAAGGTATTTAGCAGTTTATATTTACTAAAATAATTGCACTTCCATGTTCTGTGTACTGTGGGAGAAGCAGATAGAGTGAATGCAAGATCCTGGGTTTAGTAACACTTTAAGTCTATGAACAGGCAGGTGTAAATGGACATGCATACTTTTACATGCAATTACCTCAGAGAGGTATGCTCAGAAAAACGGAAAAGGACGCAAATCTAACTGACAGGCGCATCTGATCTGATTGGACCACTAGTGTGAAATTACCTTATATTATAATATGCATAAAATCTCCATCTGAATGTTTAATCAGTATTAATTTATAATAAAAGCGTGTTTTTAAAATATAATAGGTGGGGTAACTGCAGTTAAATACTTGTACAACAGTGGCAGCAAGGGCAACGCATTTTGTCCATGTCATCAGTGAAATTTGTCAGTGGCTTCTTCACTCACCAGTTGTTCTCCAGTGTCGCCAGAGTTTGAAGTCCACGATGAATGCCAAGCTCACACCAGCTGAATGCAGACATAGCTGATGCCCTTTCTTGCAAGGATAACCTGTATGCACCATCAGAGATGAAAGGGTGGTAGAAGCAGCTGTCCCAGATTAATTGTTTTCATTTAGGGAAGGGGGTGCCATTTGGCAAGCTGCACCATCTTCATAATATTCATAATGTATCCCAGACCCTCAGACCTTTCCTGGTCAATCCCCCTCATTGCTGTCTTCATCCCATAATAATCTCCCTGTCTCCATTGTCTTTTAGCAGCCACAGATGCTCTCACCTTACCTATCCACCTACCTCTGAACCCCACCCTCAGCCCATGCTGTTTCTTCTTGCTTTGTCCTCTGAACACACCCCCTTCCTCACGCTCCTGGCCTCAATGTGCTTTGCTTGTAGCAGGTAAAGAAGTGACTAGGGTTGGGGCTCAGTGCTCACCAATCAGCAGTTGCCAGGCCAGGAGACCGTAGACATAACACAAAAAGGCAGCAGGAGGTGCCAGGAACAATCCACTTAGAAAAGTAATAGTACCCCATGGTAATCAATCTGAGTCTTTTGTTCCTTGGGAAGGAAGACACTGGGCTATTTGCAATGGGCAGGTTTTTGCTGAATTATCTTATGTTTGGCTTTTGTTAAGTCTGGTGCTGTTCACAGTTAGCTCATCAGGAGGTTCTACCTTGTCACTGTGCACTTACAGATCAACATTAAAATAGACTGGTAGACCTGAAGATGCAAAGATGTGATGACACAAGTGCGGTCGCAAGTTGAAATAGGATTCAGAAGACCATTGGGCGCACACATGTGCTGAAGAAGGATTAGATTACAATTTGGAAAATCAACCCTAGACACTCAAAGATACATTCACCATCTACACTATATTACCAAACGTATTGAGACGCCTGCCTTTGCATGCATATGAACTTTAATGGCATCCCAGTCTTAGTCCGTAGGGTTCAATATTGAGTTGGCCCACTCTTTGAAGCTATAACAGCTTCAACTCTTCTGGGAAGACTGTCCACAAGGTTTAGGAGTGTGTCTATGGGAATGTTTGACTATTCTTCCAGAAGTGCATTTGTGAGGTCAGGCACTGATGTCAGACGAGAAGGCCTGGCTCACAGTTTCTGCTCTAATTCATCCTAAAGGTGTTCTATCAGGTTGAGGGGCAGGACCCTGTGCAGGCCAGTTAAGTTCCTCCACCCCAAGTCGCTCATCCATTACTTTATGAACCTTGCTTTGTGAACTGGTGTGCAGTCATGTTGGAACAGGAAGGGGCCATCCCAAATTGTTCCCACAAAGTTGGGAGCATGAAATTGTACAAAATGTCTTAGTATGCTGACACCTTAAGTGTTCCCTACACTGGAACTAAGGGGCCAAGCCCAACCCCTGAAAAACAACCCCACAGCATAATCCCCCCTCCACCAAACTTTACACTTGGCACAATGTAACAAGTACCGTTCTCCTGGCAACCGCCAAACCCAGACACGTCCATTGGATTGCCAGACAGAGAAGCGTGATTTATCACTCCAGAGAACATGTCTCCTCTGCTCTAGAGTCCAGTGGTGGCGTGTTTACACCACTGCATCCGACACTTTGTATTGCAATTAGTGATGTAAAGCTTTTATGCAGCTGCGCGGCCATGGAAGCCCATTCCATGAAGCTCTCTACACACTGTTGTTGTGCTAATCTAAAGGCCACATGAAGTTTGGAGGTCTTTAGTTATTGACTCTGCAAACAGTTGGCAACTTCTGCTCACTGTGAGCTTCAGCATGCGCTGATCCTGCTTTGTCATTTTATGTGGCCTACCACTTCATGGCTGAGTTGCTGTTGTTCCCAGTTGAATCCACTTTGTTATAATATCACTAACTAGGGATTTTTTTCAGTGAAAATATGGGGGAATGCAGTTCCAGCACCTCCAACTTTGAATGATGTATGGAATGGCAAGGGGTACTGAGGTGTGCTTCAGGGACTATTGATGCTGGTCGATGATCTATTGTCATTGGAAGAGATCCACTTTTGCAGGAGAGTCTATTGATGTTGGCTGCAGGGAGTTCTATTGTTGCTCCAGGGGGTATTTAGTTGCTGGTGATCCATTGTTGCTGGGGGGGGGGTCTATTGTTACTGGGGGGTCTATTGTTCCTAGGTGCAGGGGATCGTATTTACTGCTTTGTTATCATTAACAAATTCTATACAAATTGCTTAGTGCCACAAAATGAAACTTGGCTCTGTATTTTCTAAAAGGGGTGTTACTGGGAGGCGGGTAGGGGTAGAACCAAGGAACAGTGCTTCAAGGTGGGTAGGGGCAAAGACAAAGAGTGACTCTGAAAGGAGGAGTTCCTGAACCTATTTGCTGAGAAAAAAAGCCCTGTCACTAACTGCTGACCATGGAATATTTAGTAGCAAGGAAATTTCACAGATGGACTTATTGCACAGGTGGCAACCTACAACGGTACTACGCTTAAATTCACTGAACTCCTGAGAGTGATCCATTCTTTCACAAATGTTTGTAGAAGCAGTCTGCAGGCCTAGGTGCTTGACTTTAAACACCTGTGACCATGGAGGTGATTGGAACATCTGAATCCAATTATTTGGAGAGGTGTCCCAATACAGTTGGCAATACAGTGTATATTAAGCAGATATGCACAGATCTGACACAGGTTTGATTTCTTTCTGTGTTCTTTTCTTATTAGTTCCAACTTTTCATATCTCACGTATTTCTTAAATGGTACGATAGATTAAAGTGAATTGACTGACACATTAAAAGCATGAATAATAAATGCATAACAAATTTTCTATTGAAGACATTCTTTAGTGAAGACTTTTAATCAATGTATTTTTCTTCACATTCTATCAAACAGCAGATGGAGATCACTGACATCTTCCATAGTGGAGAGGGTCTACTTTCTTAAAATCTTCAAAAAAGTGCTACTATGCCTACCAAAAGTTAAACGATCTACCTAATGTTAAAGTACTGTTAAAGGTTACATAACCCTTCTTAATGGCTAAAACACCAGCAGCTGCTGTTGCAAAGAAGGCTGAATATCCGAAGAATCTCAGTAAGCCTTGAGAAGAGGGCAAATGTCTTTCCAAAAATGTTGTTGTGATTGGCAGGGCAGGAACATCCTGAAAAGAAATATATATATATGTATTTACTTTACTAGATACCAAAAAATTTACTTATATCCCCTGTAACATAAGGGCCCTTCTAGACCATCTGTTCAATGCACACATTAGTTATCAGCTACGCTGTCAAAGTTTATAGATACATAGTTATTGCTGACATTTGCTGATCTAATTGATCATATGAAAGCAAAACCCAACTGGATTGTGAGCAGTTTAAAAGAATACGTATCCATACAATTATCTCTTTAAAATGCATGTGCTATACTTACAAGTATTGTCTCCATTTAAAATAATCTTTGCTGAACTAAAGGTGCTGATTAACCCTTGGGGGTATCTCTGGATGCCTGTGTCTTCCTACTGCATGCTGTGGTTATACCTGCCGGTTGCTACGTCATTAGTGTATAGCTTCAGAGCTGCACATTAGCGTGTCCCTCCAAAGGGACACATGAGTAATATGGTAGCCAGGGGGTGGAACCATAGTGAGCAGTGGGGAAATATAGACATCCTAGAGTATCTAGCTCTGAAAGACAGCAAAGATTGCATTCAATAGAAGTCTTACTGGTAGGTATATTTAACTGACATTGTTAGAAGGATACACATATAGTATCTTAACAAGACGTTATTGCCAACCTATAAAATTGCATTTAAATGCTTATTGTATGCAAAAACTGTTGCCCTGTGTGTGAATCATCAGCTAAAATCATGCCCCCCCCCCCCATCCTCCTCCTCCTCCTCCTCCTCTACCCTCTTTTTTCTCATTTCCGTTATATTTCTCTTTTCCCTCATGCTGCTGCCTAGCTCAGTCAAAATCATATTGAGAATGTTTTTAAAGACATCACTGCCATCTGTGATCAGGTGATGGCTAGCATAATATTTATTGGCTTAATCAGTATTGGCTTAGAAATTCTTTGAACTTGTCTGCTGCTTTGCAATAGTTAAAGCGATTCTAAAAGGTTAACTTTCTTTTTTTAAATAACAAACATGCAATATTTACCCGCTGTGTGCAGTGGTTTCACATAGAGCAGCTTTGATCCTCCTCTTCTCGGGTCCCCCGCGGGCTCTCCTGATCCCTCCCTACTGTCGGGTGCCCCCACAGCCAGCAGCTTGTTATAGGGGCACCTCCTGCTCTGTGTGTCCATTACATGGAGCTGTGGCTTGGCCCTGCCCTCTCTCTCCTCATTGGCTGACTGTGATTGACAGCAGCGGGATCCAATGGTTCCCGCTTGCTGTCTCAGCCAATGAGGAGGCAGAGACTCAGGACAGCCGAGGCTGTTGTTCACATCGCTGGATCGCAATGAGGCTCAAGTAAGTATTGAGAGGGCTGGGAGTACTGCTGCACACAGAAGGTTTTTTACCTTCATGAATAGAATGCATGATGGTAAAAAACCATGAGCCTTTACAACCACTCTAAATTATTAATTTTATTCATAGCTCTTGATCTTACAAGTGTTCTGTTTAATCTTTATTTCCCTTCTTAATTAATTGCTAAGCGACTTAATGGGAGAAACAGGCACTGACTTGGAAAGAGAAAGAGAATTAGACTTTAAAACAATTAACTTACAATAAAATGGTGGGTGCACCAACAATTATGGTAGCAGTATATTAGACAGTTTATTGATCATGTGAAACCCATTGTGAGTATTCAGCCTTGATGTATTTGATACAAATAGTCTCATTTAAAAGGCTAATACTTCCAAGCAGAATTTAAATGTAGATAATGGGATCATATACTAACCAAAGCTTGTTTACTTCCAATAGGAAATTACATGTTATGTGAAGTTATTTGACCAGTCACAGAGGGACAGTGTATATGTGTATTTCTTGTTTAGTAACACTTGTGTTATGTCCAAGGATGTTGCTAGGATTCTAAAAGACCTGGGGTACCCTAGGGAACATATCTTAAATATACACACGACTTTTAAAAAATACTGTACAGTGGGAAGAGAGTCCTTTTAATGCATCGTCAAGGGTGAAATGGGAAAAACACCCATGAAAAAAGATCCTTAAATTATGTGCTAGGGAGTTGTGGTGTTATAGGACAGAACAATTTTCACTGACATATTCTGGCATTTCCATTTAGCTTGGTTTAAATGCAACAGGGGCACCATGGAAAATATAGAATTTAAAGTGTATTATTTAAGAGACCATAGCAACAAATTTTATACAGTGACTGGACAGTACAGCTCCAGATCGCAGCAAGCATTATTTGTCATCTGGAGCTGCAAAAAGCTACACTATAGGGTTAATTTACTTAAACTGGAGAGTGCAAAATCTGGTGCAGCTGTGCATGGTAACCAATCAGCTTCTAGATTCAGCTTGTTCAATTAAGCTTTACTAAAAAGCTGGAAGCTAATTGGTTTCTATGCAGAGCTGCACCAGATTTTGCACTCTCCAGTTTTAGTAAATCAACCCCTATACCTACCCCAGGGGTCTGAGCCCCACTTTGTTTAAGCTCTTTTCACTGAAATCCCTCTCCTATATACTCTAGTGGAAATTTATGGACCTGGATTACCCCAGAGTGGCAGATTGCCAACCACAAATTGTTTTTTTTTTACTTTTTTTAAAATTTGTATTTTTATGTGTAGTTATTTTATTTCAGTTTTTTTATGGATTTATACAGTACATGGGCTTCAAGCAGCAAAGGGTAAACATGTCTTTAAAGTGAGGGTACTGGAGACATAGATTCCAGCTTGTGGAATCATCCCTTCATGCTAGTTTATGGCCTATGCTACACCACAGTGACAGGCACCATGACACCATTATTTTGTCCAGAAGGTCATCTTTCCAGCAGCATGTGAAATGCAATGAGGCAGCAGTTAGCAGAGGTGGAATGGGAAGAGGATTAGGGTTCTGGCAGTTGGGAGGGGGAAATGGACAGGCTTAATATTAATATTTTTTTTTTTTTATTATAGTCAAGACACTGGAGGCATAGCTGCAGGGGGAAAACCTATGGCCATAGACTTCCTGAACATCCGCAATGTGTGTGGTGGGGGGGGGGGGGGAATTGTATGGCCAGGATAAGGTCAGGTAGCTGGATTACCCCAGAGTGGCAGATTGCCAACCACAAATTGTTTTTTTTTTTACTTTTTTTTAAATTTGTATTTTTATGTGTAGTTATTTATTTCTGTTTTGTATGGATTTATACATTACATGGGCTTCAAGCAGCAAAGGGTAAACATGTTATAATTCCACTGCTTTGCTAGCATAACATTACAACCATTTCAGCAGCCAGTTGTATTTCTTTAAAGTTAGGGCACTGGAGACATAACTGTAGAGGGAAAACCTATAGCCATAGGCTTTTTGCTCTTCCACAAGGCAGGGGGAAGGAAATGCAGCAGCAAATGGAGAAAGCAAGTTCTATGACCAAAGGGAAGGACAGGCAGAAGCAAAAATTGAACACAGAATCCTATAGCCATTGGCTGCCCACTTTTCCGTAAAAAGGAACCATTCCAAAAGGAAGCTATAGGCAAGCCTAAAATGAAGTAAAGGCACTGCTGCATGGAAGTAGTAGGTGGCGAGCTTCCCCCTTCCCCTTCTCCCATCTCCTCCTCCTCTTTCCCCCTTAACTTTTTCCTTCCTCTGTCCCTCTCTCTCCCATTCCTCCTTCATCTTTTCCTCCTCCTATGTGACAAAAGCATGAGAAGGGGACATGGGAAACTGACTTTTTTCATTGCTTTAGTGGCTCATTGGGCAGGTAGTGCAGTGGCTGAGAACACTTTTTTATTCTTACTCCTTACAGGTGCAGAACAGCCGTTTGCTTGCAAGTGTCAATGTACCCTTTTTCCATGTTCTCCCCTTTTGCTAATCCCACCAACAGGATGTGATGAGTTGGCAGAATTACAGACCACTGGTATTCTCTGGCCTGGTCCACAGAGCTCTACAGTGTAGGCCTTGTTTTTCATCATATCTGCTGCTGGAGTAAATAAATGTCCCTAAATTACCAATATGCCCAGCATCTTAATGCTTTGCAGCTTCTTCCATTCCAGCTTGTGGAATCATCCCTTCATGTCAGTTTATGGCCTATGCTACACCACAGTGACAGGCACCATGCCACCATTATTTTGTCCAGAAGGTCATCTTTCCAGCAGCATGTGAAATGCAATGAGGCAGCAGTTAGCAGAGGAGGAATGCGAGGAGGATTAGGGTTCTGGCAGTTGGGAGGGGGAAATGGACAGGCTTCATATTAATATTTTTTTATTTTATTATAGTCAAGACACTGGAGGCATAGCTGCAGGGGGAAAACCTATGGCCATAGACTTCCTGAACATCTGCAATGTGTGTGGTGGGGGGAAATTGTATGGCCAGGATAAGGTCAGGTAGCAGCAAAACATTAAGCAAAGAATCCTATGTTTAATGGCTGCCCTTTTCTTCCTCAAATCTTCCTTCAACAGTCAAACATATCAGAGAGACTTTGGAGGATG